TTTTCTTGATTAAAATTTAAAATAAAATTATTTTTTTCTTTGTTTTATGTTTAGTAACAATAAAGATAAAAAGATTTTTGAAAAAAAATTTAATTGAACTAAATATGTTTAAAGCTAATGGAAGTAATCGACATCAAATTAATTATCAAAGAATTGCAACTCGATTGTACTTATTTGTTCTTCTCATTTCACTTATTATAATTAGTTTTTATTTATTATTAAATGAAGATCTTCAACAAAACACAATTCGTCAACCATTGGAATTTCAATATAAAGAACTTGAAAAAACTTATTCTTCAAATCTTTATTATCCATGTTCAACAGTCTCAATGAATCATTCAACTCTTATTATGATTGAACCTTATTTTCATCAAATATGTTCAAGTGACTTAATATCAGATGCATGGATGGATAATATCAATGGTGATCACGTGATGAACGATTATTTTTCAATATTTGACTATCGAAATTCTGGTATATTTCACTTTCAGTTATTGTCATTGTTATGTCAACATTCTCAACAAACAGTTAATATTAGTATCAAAACATTTCTTCAAACATAATTTCTTTCTTCACAAGTTATTTCTCAAAATCGATTTGAAACTATAGTTAATTCATCTATTAATGATTGGAAATCTCAAACTACTGATCAGTTTTTAGAAATAATTAAAATATTTCAAGCTGTATCACATGGAAATCAACTTATAGGTCAGCAATTTAAGTATTATATTCTTTATAGAGACTCGAATGATACAAAAATGAATCTTGAAGATCAAGAATATTTCGATTGTTCATGCACTTTATCTTCATCATGCATTTTCTCTCTCAATCTGTTCGGGGACGATGCATCTTCGGAGATTCTCACGACAGTTTTCATAGTCCCAAATTTTTTTCTGAGTTGTTCCCAAATCGAAGGATCAATGAAATCAACTTTAGAATGTTTTTATAATCTATCATGTATGATTGAATTAGATCGACATTTTGATTTATCTCTTGGATCATCTTTTAATTTTTCAAATTTAAATGAAATTCTTAATCCACCGAATGAAACAATTGAAACAATTATCAATAAACTTATGGTTGATTCTTGGATATCGAATATTTCATTTTCTTCATATTATAATACATGTTCTCCATCATCATGTACATATGAATACATTAGTCGAAATTGCTTTATTGTTTGTTATAACAGCAATTCTTGGTATTTGTGGTGATTTATCTCTTGGATTAAAACTACTTACTTTAATTATTCTTCGATTTATTGAGAAGACAATTAATAATAATTCTTTTAATGGATTTATAACAATGATAAAAAAACTTATTTATTTGTAATACTGAACAATGTATTATTAATCGACTTCATTTGATTTTTCTTTTACTAAAATTATACTTAATATTTCTATTTTCTGCTTTTAAATCAAAATTAGCTACTGTTCAAATAATAAAACTATCACTTTCAAAATATAAAGATTTATTAAAAGATCATTCTTATTCTCTTCAATATTCTTGTTCACATATATCTATTCCATATGAAACATTTCTTTCTATTGAACCTCATTTTCATGATTTATGTTCAAGTCTATTTATTTCTGATGAATGGATTCATTATATTTATGGTGAAGGTCATCTTTCTCATCGATTTTCATTCGATGATTATCATTATTCAGCTCCTGAACAATTTCTTTCACTTTCTTCACTTTGTAAACTTAGTCAAGAAAAAGTAAATCATACTCTTTCGCATTTATTGACAAGTTATTTTATTAATTCTCAGCTTTTATCTGAAAATCTTTTAATTGAACAAATTGAAATAATTCTAAATCGACTTCAATCAACTACATCCAAATCATTTCTTAATATTTTGAATTTAATTCGTGAGACAATTGGTTCGAATATGGTTATGAGTGCATGGAGCACTAATTGGGAATATATTCCTCAAAGTGCATTATCTGCTGATTCAACTTCATATACAGCATCTGTAAGTTATGGTGAATGTAACTGTGGATTATCATTTAAATGTACTCAGTCATCAGGAGATATGATGAGTGGTTGTTATCCACTTGAATCTATTCTTCAAACAAAACTTTACTGTTTTTATGATCAAAATTGTATCGATTCAAACGGAAATTTTACAAGTTTAAATATGTCTACGTTGAAAAAAAGTCAATTTAATTTAAATTCAACAATTGAATCAATTTTAAATAATTTAATGATTGAAAAATATAAAAATAATTTATCATATGAAAATTATTTTAAACAATGTCAACAATTATCATGTTCATATTCTTATATTAAAACTCATGATGTAACTCAAACAATAATATCTCTTATTTCTCTTTATGGTGGATTAGTTATTATAACTCGTTGTTTAGCAATTATTTTTGTTAAAATTTATCAAAGTAAAAAAAATCGCATTAATTCCGAAGCTCCTCAACAAAATATTTGATATATATATATCAAGAAAAGAAAAACTAAGAATATCGAAAGAGAAATGAATTAATTTTGTCAAAGCTTTTGATGTTGTACTGGAATTATTTAATAAATTTATCAATCAAATGAACATTATTTTTTAATAGAGATTTATTAATTGTATAAAATTATTATTTTTAACAGTATAGATCAGATCTATGTAACTCAATTCATGAAATAAGTTTAACGGAAATGAATTTGAGGGTGAGAGTGAAGAGTAAGTCGAGCATCTACGACACCTTTCGACCTTGCCAAATGGGTGTGGGTGTGTGGCTGTTCTCTGAATTCACACCCACACCCTTCAGACATTCTCTCAAATATAGAAACATGTTATACAGTTCAACCATGTTTCTTTATGAAGACGATAAATCAATCAAAGCAGGAAAGACACATCATTCATGAACTCTGGCACCGATGTGTCTTCGAAAGAATGTATGAGATTTGAAGCAATATTATCTTTTACAAAAGAAACGTCGGAACAGATACTTGAGTGCGCTAGAGCATTAATGTAATATCATATATTGCGTGATTTATTTATGCATTGAGATGTTGCTTGCTGCGTCACTTCATAGTCAATATATTGTTTTCTGCGTGTATCCTTCTGTCAGTCATAACATCATAAAGAAAAGAGATAAACTCTATGTCTAAACCTAATAATAGTTCAAATAACGCAAAAACAAATGAAAATGATTGAGTCATTAATGATGAAGAGTATAACTGTTTTCAATCAATTCCATCTATTTCAGAGAAATAATAGCATATGCATATATTTCTTTGAAGTATTATTATAGCAAAATATATACTGATATTATGTTTTGTCATTTATGTGATCTTTATGTATAGTAATTTTGATTCAGGAAAAATGAATGAATTATCATAATAAGTAAAAACAATGAAATTCTTTGTATTGTGGAAAATGTAATGCAGTTAATACCAAAATATGACATGTGACGATTTTAGTATCTGTGATCAACTGCCAGTCACGCTGGGCACCAGTTATATGATTATTATAGTTATTATCAAAAATATCCAAAAGTGATAGACCTCTAAGATTATTTAGTCTTCGAAAAAGTTTTTTTGCAATCGTCAAACAGAAAATAAATACACAAAAACATGCGAAATTTCATATTCTATCTTTCTAACATGTTGAAAATGAAAGCTAAGATGATGACAGATATCCGTTCTAATCCGGCATCATCCTTCGAGCAAACACAAGAATTATGAAATATTTATTCCATTTATATACCAATGCACATAATTATTGAATAGAAAATGCTACCTTTTAAAGTATCAGTGATTTTCGAAATCTCTTAGTAATTTCTATAACTACTGAGATTTTACACAATTACTTGAATTTATTTTCCCGACAGTTCTATAACAAAAAGCCACAGTATGTTTCTTAAAACTAAATAGATAAAATGTTGCCAATATAAAACTTATGTGGTATCATATGACAAGACTTAAATGAATATGAAAATGTCAAACAAAATATTATTAATAAATGGAAAAATTCTAGTGTAGAAAATCTGAGAAAATGATTATCGGCATTCCAAAAAGGTTGAAAATAAGATCAACCATTGACGAAAGTTGATTAGTAATATTTTTACAAAAAGTTAGTCTGATAAACTTATAAATCATATAGATTTTTTTTTAAAATTTTTCTCAAAAAACTAAGATGAACACATTCACTCAAGAATTGTAAAATAATCATTATATTGAATTATATTTATGCATTTGGAAGTGTTTTTTTTTCAAATGATAGTTCTAATCTTCCTCTACAAAATTATATATTTTAATCAATTAACTATAGCTAGGTTTGTCATAAATTCCTCTCATATTAGAAGATTCTCCCCTAATAGAAAATCTTTCCTTAGTAGAAGACCTCCTTCTGGAGGGCGATGTGAAATTCATAATAGAAGAGTCGGATCTTCTGGAAAAATAAGCCTTCGTTTAACTCTCTTAACCTTGTTTCGCTGAATCCATTATCAGATGTTGCTTATTGGAAATATAAGATACGGAAGAACAGAGAAGAAAGTAAACGCTTATCTACATCTAACAGGAACATACTTGCTTCTGAGAAAAAAATCTTATTTTTAGCTTGAATTAATATGAACGAAAAACAGAAAGAACTATGAATTATAGGAGAAGAGAACGATTGACATTAAATTTCATTCACACAAGCACTATAATGCATTTGTTGAATATATAGAACACAGGGTAACAACAACTTGCACTTCTTTGTAACGATGAAGATGAGAATTTTAATAATTACGACAGTTCTAATGATGATTCAGATGCTGAAATTACTTCAACTATCGATGAATATAAAAATCTTTTCTTACGTACGTCAATGTATTCTTAATTGAAATCCGAAGAGAACAATGATAAAGATTTAACTTTCATATTCCCTGGCTTACTTCCACCATGATTGTCTTTAGGCTAATGAGATGTTGACAAAATAAGTGATTCTCACTAAGTAGTACTTGTTCATAATATTTATTGCGAATGTTAGTTGTCAAAAGTTCATGAAGCGTAAACGATATTAATGGGCAATCAAAGAAAATCTTGATGCTATTACACTATTTGATAAAGCATGAAGTAAATGAGAAATTGTAAAGAAGGAAGTATGCACGACTGCTTTATTAAAAAAATAGGATCAGAAATAAAGAAATTCTATTAATAATTTACAAAAAGGAGAAAAGATTCATCTTTGAAAACGCTCATTCATGACAATTGTTCAAGCAAAAAAAAACATTTCCCTCTGATTATATGTAGAATCATATTTTATCTAGTTTCACGATATCGATATGTACGTACTACGTTCAATGATGAAGAGGCATGTTCAATCGTAAACAATTTACGTTGAAGTAGGTTTTATTCTTGTAATGAATTTCAATATTTTATCAGGATTCATTTTTATTCATCAACAGTAATTTTTTTGACAATGAATGATGATGATAATGAAGAAAAAGAAGAACCTTTATATATATATATATAAAGAAATGAAAGAACTCAATTTACATTAGTTTGTGAAAAAATGAAATTTAATAGTAGTTCATCTTTTGTTTTCATTTCTTTAGTAGCTTTACTTGGTATTTTAAACAAAATTATAGTGAAGAAAAATGTTATTAAGATATTGTATCCTTTATGCGTAGGAAATCACATTATAGAACCACTCCTTATAGAAGATCCAGACGTTTTTTTTTATAGTAAGACGAGGTTTAGATGCTGTTGGTATACTGAGAGAGATCAAACCTTTTGAATTATCATTTTATTTTACTATTATTTCTTCACAATTATGTACAGAAGAAAGTTTTTGTTTACTATTTGAGCGAGTGGTTTATGAAAAAGACTTTATCTATTGCACTATCCATTTCCTTATGAAAAAAGCAGGGTGTAGTAATAGTTGTTTTTGATACTCAGAAAAAATGTTTTGAGTAGCTTTTCTCAAATTTCTTCTTGTATCTCGAATTACTAGTGAGATTTGTTCGAGTACAATGTCTTTTTCATTATTTCTCTCATTATTGCTTAACATAACTTTTCTTAATTTAGCTATTCAGTTTTTCATTTCAATGAACTAGATGTTCTGTTTGTTTTTTCTCAAATAGTACATTCAAATTTGTTAAACTATGTACTGATTCATAATAGCCATGGTAACATGTTCGTTCAAAATAAAGTATTCTTTTTATATTTTAACTAGTCGCTGCTAGTTTTCTTTATTTTATTCTCAATCCTTATATCGATTTCATCATTTCGTATACGATGTTTGAAATATTATTAGTGTAACTATCAAGATATTGGCTAGGCGACATAATTACATTCATTGTGGTATTGAGTTCCTTTTTTTTTCGAAGTCCTCATTTTTCACTTCGAAGTCTATTTATGAGATAAAACGATGTATCTTACATTGTTTCACAAAACGCACAAACAGTGTTCCTAATAACAACGAAATAAATTTCAGTTGTTTTGTTTAACTTCGTATACAATCATTTTATACTCGGCTCAGATATATTTTTTGATATTTGCATAATCTTTAGATGTTGCTCTTTCGAATAGTACGACTGCACCTATTCTCCTTCATACAGTTGTGGAGAAATCAGAGATGTATGAAAAAGGACTTCATCCGTTATTATTAGTAGTTTTCTTAATTATGACCTTGAGAAAATTGTTGTTCTTAATAACGACATAAAATGGAAGTCCAAGCAAAAAATGTATGTACTTAGAAAAACATTTTTGCACGTTTTCCGTTCGGAAAAACAGGATAGATATTGTTAGTACTTTTAAAGATCGTATCGAGCTCCATCATAATCGAAAGGTTTATAAGAAACTAATTTTGATTTCATGAGATATGTAACTTCAAATGAAGACACCTTAAATTGTTTTTAAACAAATGTACGTAATTACAACGTCGAGCTAATTTTTGTCCCTAATGACGACATTCAGCTGTTTTTTCCTAACAATGACGCATTATTATGAATTTAGTATAAGAGATTTTATTCAGGAATAAAGTATTCATTAGTAACCTTCACATAGAAATGACGACAAACTATATTGATAATATCTTTTATCTTATCAAAATTCCTCCTACTCTTGTTAATAAAGATGTCACACATGAAACTATTTGTGTCCTTATGCCTGAAATCATTATACAAAATAAATGTGTAACATAAATAATGAACTCAAATAAAAGCTTGTCATTAATTATTTTATTCTATAAATAAATTTCATTTTCATCAAAGAACAAAATTGTAAGATTAGATTCTGCGCATAATATTATTCATTTTCTCTTTAAAAGAAACATTTTCGAGGTGCTCAATGTTCCTGATTGTCTTTAGATTTTGAAAAAAAAATGTTCAAAATCATATTGAGAAGTGAAATATCTTCTCAAGTCAAAATTAGTTTCTTATGGACCTTTCAATTATGATGGAGCTCGACACGATCTTTAAAAGTACTAACAATATCTATCCTGTTTTTCCG